GGTTTACGCTTTCTAATCATTCATATCATGTCACATTTATTTGTCAAATACTGTACTTTTTTGTGGGTGAAACATCTCTACCGTTTGGAGGGATTTTGTCATGATTAAACTGTATGGTCGCCTAGCCCTACATAGTACTACATTTTATTGATTGGCATCTGTAACCATGCTGTAACTAGGATAACCAATTAAAAAAAAAAACTTATGCAGGAATGCATTACAAGGTCAGAAATCATCCAAGCTTGGATAGTATCTAGGCTGGTGATGGTGGAATTCATAATGGTCGACTTAATTATATTATAGTCATACCAGGCCTAGGCTTAAAAAATGTAGGCTTGTAGGCTATTCTCGGCCTAGGCCTATATATATATATATGTATATATATATATATATATATATATATATATATATACTGTATATATATTTATATTTAATAAAGTTTACTAGCGGCTTTTGTTTCGGCATGACATCCATTTGTATTTTGCGACGAACCATAGTCAAACGTTTTAACTTCTTATATATTATGCAAACTTTACCTAATACTCGGTGTGTGATGATTACGTTGGTAGACTCATCGACGATGCTGACCTCAGTTTCGATTTCTTTGGCGAAGGTTTAGAACTTAGATCATCATTATTCTGTCTTAGATTCTGCTAGTGCACGTTTTTTTGCATTTTTTGCTAGCAAATTCAATTTTTCTTTTATTAATAAATAAATCGCCTGTAGCACGTAGGTAGGGTGGTATCCGATTTGTAAGCTAGTATCATCATCATCTAGGCCTAGGCTACTAAACTATACTAAATTCACACGCCAGCAAAGCTATCGACGACTCGGCCAGAGTACATTAATGGCTTTCCAAATCTTCCATTGTTTTGCGCACATTCTAAATGTATTCCATCTTGTCTTTGTAAAAGGTTGTACCCCGCTTCACGGAACATCATCAAAATACATTGTGCAGGGAAAATTCTTTGGATTTACCCTTTTGTATACAGATTTTTTACCACATCCAGGTGGTGGATGTGTGACTGCCTGTGAGGAGGTATTTAAGTTATACCAAACAGGTCGGTCACTCATGGTTGACCCTACTATATTAAATACATGTTTTACCAATCACAGATATGTTATTGATTATGTTTGCATCAAAACGCAGGTTAAAAATATTCAAAAATGTAAATTGATGTAAAAAAAAATGTTTACTTTCGTTTTTTATTTAGAAATTATTATTTTTTATTATTACACAAATCAAATGTAAAAAATGCCTGGAACCGATGAGTCTATTATAACAGACCATGTGGTGGCGCTACGTCATAGAATTTTTCCAGAAGCTAGGGAAGCTCAATCAAAAGAATCAGTTTAAAGTAACAAAAACACAAATAAATAAATAAATAAATGAATAAATAAATAAATAAATA